AAGGATGGGACGTTGTTGACCTCAACTGATGGAGTGTTAGGGCGTTGGAAGGAGCACTTTGAGGAACTCCTGAACCCGACAACTCCGCCCTCTATGTTAAAGGCAGAGCTGGAGTATGACGGGGGATCGACACCAATCTCCCGGGGGGAGGTCACTGAGGTCGTCAAACAACTTCACAGTGGCAAAGCCCCGGGGGTGGATGAGATCCGCCCAGAAATGCTGAAGGCTCTGGGTGTTGAGGGACTGTCATGGTTGACACGTCTCATCAACGTTGCGTGGAAGTCGGAAACAGTACCGAAGGAGTGGCAGACCGGGGTGGTGGTTCCCCTTTTTAAAAAGGGGGATCAGAGGGTGTGTGCCAATTACAGAGGCATCACACTACTCAGCCTCCCCGGGAAAGTTTACTCTAAGGTACTCGAAAGGAGGGTCAGGCCGATTGTCGAACCTCAGATTGAGGAGGAACAATGCGGATTCCGTCCTGGTCGTGGAACGACGGATCAGCTTTTTACTCTCGCAAGGATCCTGGAGGGGGCCTGGGAGTACGCTCATCCAGTCTACATGTGTTTTGTAGACTTGGAGAAGGCGTATGCCCGGGTTCCCAGGGAGTCACTGTGGGAGGTGCTGCGGGAGTATGGGGTGAGGGGGTCTCTACTCAGGGCCATCCAATCTCTGTACTCCCAAAGCGAGAGCTGTGTCCGGGTCCTCGGCAGTAAGTCGGACCCATTTCAGGTGAGGGTTGGCCTCCGCCAGGGCTGCGCTTTGTCACCAATCCTGTTTGTAATATACATGGATCGGTTTTCGAGGCGTAGTCGTGGGGGAGGGGGTCTGCAGTTCGGTGGACTAAGGATTGCACCACTGCTTTTTGCAGATGATGTGGTTCTAATGGCTTCATCGGTCTGCGACCTTCAGCACTCACTGGATCGGTTCGCAACAGAGTGTGAAGCGGCTGGGATGAGGATCAGCACCTCCAAATCTGAGGCCATGGTTCTCAGCAGGAAACCAATGGATTGTCCACTCCAAGTAGGGAATGAGTCCTTACCCAAGGTGAAGGAGCTCAAGTATCACGGGGTCTTGTTCTCGAGTGAGGGACAATGGAGCGTGAGATGGGCCGGAGAATCGGAGCAGCGGGAGCGGTACTGCAGTCACCGTTGTGACGAAAAGGGAGCTGAGCCAGAAGGCAAAGCTCTCTGTCTACCGCGCCATTTTCGTTCCTACCCTCACCTATGGTCATGAAGGATGGGTCATGACCGAAAGAACGAGATCGCGGGTACAAGCGGCCGAGATGGGTTTTCTCCGCAGGGTGGCTGGTGTCTCCCTTAGGGATAAGGTGAGAAGTTCGGTCATCAGGGAGGGACTCGGAGTTGAGCCGCTCCTCCTTCGCGTCGAAAGGAGCCAGTTGAGGTGGTTCGGGCACCTAGTTAGGATGCCACCTGGGCGCCTCCCTAGGGAGGTGTTCCAGGCACGTCCAGCTGGAAAGAGACCAAGGGGTAGACCTAGAACCAGATGGAGGGATTATATCTCTTCGCTGGCCTGGGAGCGCCTTGGGATCCCCCAGTCAGAGCTGGTTGATGTGGCCAGGGAAAAGAAAGTTTGGGGCTCTCTGCTGGAACTGCTACCTCCGCGACCCGACCACGGATAAGCGGGAGAAGATGGATGGAAGATGGATGGATGGTATGTCCTACTGGCTCAGAGTTGAACTAATAACACAAAAGCATTTTAAGAAACATTTCCATACATTTTTTATGACCAACTTCCATTAATAAAACAAAAAGTATCATAACAAATACAATTATCATGGAAAAAAACTATTTTAAATGACATTTCACTTTGATTTTTAAATGTTTCATTAAGAAATGTTAGCCCCAATACATTAGAAACAGCACTCAATAGAAGAAAGTAGAGAACTGAGATGCTCCTGTAGCGCCGGTGGACGCTGAGTCTGGCTGACGCAGCACCTGTCAGTACGAAGGAAAGGGAAAGGACACATTTTACTGCAGTGACACCAGAGGGATGTTGGCTGTGCAATCTGGCTCTCCAAATCATCGTTAAAACCTGGCAGGGTCTGTGATCATGGCACTATCCCTCATGAAACTCTGGGTGCACATGGCATCTGTTATACTCAGCACATGTATTCTTTATTCTGATCCCCATCTGCTGACGTGTGTTCCAGCTCATCCTTTAAAATAACTCTCTGCTTCCCTCCGCCCTGTAACCTCATAATCCCTGCTCAGTCAAGCACAAAGTGACACATCTCACTTACTTAGACCACTACCTCGATAACCTTTGGATTGGAAGACACAGCATTTCGATCTCCCTGTCTGTATCACACAAACAGAAGAGTGACCATAAAGTCGACTTTGACTTTGACCTGACGTAACCCTGAAAACCCAACTTCTGTAAACTCACTGAAAAACACATCTTTATCAAGTTTTTGTTTATTGTTGCTTACAAGTCATATCCTATTTGATGTTTTTGGCATTTGTGCTGTTTGTTTCATCAAGTACAACGTTTTGTGTTGGGAGGCTTTACGACAGAGTGTAAAAACAAGTTTTAGACAAAGAAACATACGCATAGTGCAGTTTAATACTAGATAATCTTGATTTACTTCATTACCTGAAGTGTGCATCTTCTACTGTGTATCTGTGTGCACTTGTATGCTCAACAAGTATGCTCCACTGGATAGAAAGAAAGGTGTAGAGCAAGTATAACAAAGATCTCAGTCTTTAGTTCAATTATTTAGACCAGGGGTGTCAAACTCAATTTCATCGCGGGCCACATTAGCATTATGGTTGTACTCAAAGGGCCGGTTGTAACTATATAAATATATAATATATATATATAAAATAATGTATTATATTACATTATTGCCTCTGAATTGGGTTATTATCGGATTGGGTCATAACTCACTAAGTTTTGTGCACATGTCACAAAACGAGATGCATTGGGGGACAGGCCTCTGTAAAGTGGCATGTAACCATATAATAAACGTATTATATTCTTTGCAAGCTCTTGCGGGCCACATTAAATGAAGTCGCGGGCCGGATTTGGCCCCCGGGCCTTGAGTTTGACACCCCTGATTTAGACTATGTTACTTTCCTGTTGTGGTTAATTGCAAACATACTATTTGTTTGATCTGCCATTTTAGATGTTCCTCTTTGTGTTCAGTCTTTGTCATTACTAGCTAATGTTATTCAGTTTGGTTGACCTCCTTTACTCTACTGTATGTGCCCACAACTTTGTTACACAACTTCATAAATTGTTTGTTTGTATTTGGGGTAAATAATACCACCTTATGAACATATGTTATCTTCAATTCTCCCAGTCACTCCGATAAGGTACAACTTAGATGTCATCCCTCATGATGTGTTAGCACTATCTTAAAGTACCAATTACTTTCACCTGCAGCATCAATGGAGTTGAATCATTAAACTGAAATAAGAACCTATTAACAGCATATTTATTTATGTTTAATAAATGGGGAAAGGAGCCAATAGTTTATTTCCAGATGTTGTGAATGAAGATGAGAGGCTGTGATAATGGCTGCTGGCCGGGTGCCGCAGCTGCGATAACAGTGCCGCTCTGCTGGAGCCTGCTGCTGAAGAGAGGGCCAAGCCACAGCAGAGCTCCAGATCCACCTGTCCATCTCTGTGCCGGCCTTCACCTGTGGTCCAGGCTTTGTGCAATGACTGACAGAATGAGGCTGCAGTCACACTTTGCATGATATGGTCCATAGGCCAATGGTCTCTATTGAGAAGAAGCAGTCTATGTGGGCGGGGCACCTGGGAGGATGTTCCTAGGTGTTTCCCTATGGAGGTGTAATCGGCATGACTTATAATTAATAGTTAAGAGATCATGGGATATATCAGGGCAATATAAGGCAGCTAAAGAAAGTTGCAGGTGATAGGACCCGAATAAAACCTGCTAGTATTTTGGAGTAACGCAATCATTTCAGTGGCTTAAAAGAATGCTTTACACTTTAAATTAACATTTGTATTTGAATGACTCACCCTTTGTTACCTTGAATGCATTTTCCGTAGTATTATGCCATATAAACACTTACATGTAGAAGTCTGGAGGAGTAGCGAGAGACTGTTTACTCGTAACATTTGAGCGGAAATGCATTTGTTTTGGAAGTTCTCAGCAAACATAGTTTTGCTGTTGTTAACTTTCTGTTAACTTTTCTCATGGAGGTATGAGAAAAAAAACCTTTTAAATAACTAAAGTACTTTGAAATCTCACTATTAATCCTACCATCTGTCTATCCATTAGACACATACAGTAAGAAGAAGTTTAAAATGAAAAAGGACCTGAATATGTACATTTGCCTATCGATCTAATTCTCTTTCCCTAATTATTTGTTCTCTGTGTCAGATGAGATAGTATCAACCTGGCCTTGTGGCTTGGAGCCCCCGGCCAGGTTGTGTCCGAATGACACCATCTGCAGAGGATACTGGAAGGGACCAAACTATGGCATCACCAACTTTGACAATATCGGGTTTGCGGTGCTGACAGTTTTCCAGTGCATCACCATGGAGGGCTGGTCGGAAATCCTCTACAGCGTGAGTCTATATGCTTTTCATACTTGTTGTCGTTTTTAAAGTATAATCTTGATTTTCTGGCATCTCTGTGTTTTTGCATACATGTTCTTCATCATCCTTTTCAATCTTATCTCCTACGTTCAGCTATATCCTCCTAGTTGCAAGGCTTCAGGATTTCCTGTTAGTTTCTTGTTTTGTTAGTTAATGTCTTTGATATCAAAACATTACTGGCCAGACTGTTGTGTGTATTCATGTTCCTAAGAAACGTATTGTTCATGATTATGGTGCCACCACAAGCTTCACATTTTTCCCTGGACTAACGCTATGAGAATGTGTCTTTTTATTGAAAATAGTCATATGCATGGCTCTCTGGGGATGATCCCAACAGTATAAAATTATATGAGAACCTCATGATTCTTCTTCTGCTATTTTTCTAATGGGCAGATTGCCATCAGTTTTTTGTAATGTTTTGAAGAATTAAACCATGTTGATTAAATTATCACATGGCTCTTAATCAAGTGCAACTCCCTCACCTAACAATGTTATCCCGGCACTGACAATAAGAGGTTTAGACTTAGAGGAGAAGAGAATAATGTTGTTTTTGCCAACCGCCAGTTTAATATTTTTGGGTAATGATCATGTTAACATTTTGTAACCAGCAGGGGTGTTATGAACTCATCAAACCATGAATATTTCACACAGAGAAAGATTTCTTTGAGAAAACACTCTTTTTCCACCACCCATGTGCTTAACATTTATATAAAGACACATATTCACACCTGGAAGCTGCCGACCTGGAGCATTTGGGGGATTGTTCTTTTGATGAATGGCAACTCAAAGGCAGTTGGTAATATGTGTTAATTTGATCCGTTTAAGTTTTAAATACCAGTTATATTTAACTATTAACCTGTGAGCTATATACATGTAGCCAGCATGCTGCCTGAAGCAGAGATTGGGACACAGAGGCAGCAGAGTGTCAATGTGCCAGTTCTGGTTCTGCATGGATGAATGTTAGCAGCTGTGGCACAGAAGACACACTGTACCTGTCAGGATGTACTCTTCATGTACTGTCTGTAGTTGATATATTCCTAAAAAAAAAAAAAAGGCGTCTCAGTACACTCCACTTAAAATAAAATTACAGAAATTGAGAATAATACCAAACAAAAAACTATTTTTTGGTAATGATGTACAGAAAGTTATTTACAGTATGAACTATAACAGTAATGAGAGACAGAAACCATTATAGCAACTATACAATTCAAATGTTTAAGAGTATACAGTATACAGAGCATAGTGAAAAGGTCTGGGTGCCATTATGTGTATAACAAGTACAGTTTTTTTAACTGTTTGATGGTTAATGTTGAGTTTTAACTTTTGTGACCTGACTTACATGCTGAAGTAAGGCCATGTACATAGGTTATAAAAACCCAAACCACCATCTTTTCCTTGACCTGACCAAGTAGTCCTGTTGCCTAAGAAGGTTTTGCAGGGAGTTGCAAAGGTGCACTGATTGCCCAACATTTGTAGAACAATAACAGACAGATGTCAAAATAACTTTTTGTAAGATATGATAAATAAACAATCTACCGCTGATTTTTGGCAAAACAAATTGGTCCTTTGCATCCAGTTGAAAATGTTTCTACTTTAGGGATGAATGTTATCCTATCCGAGGCACATTACACCACTTCATTAATATACAGAGACAGAATAATGAATTAAAGCATTTCTCTGTATAGTTAGTACATTTGCTGTCATGTAACTATTTGTTGTTGACCGCAAAGAAGAAACGTGAAGGCCATGAGGTCTGTGTCACGTGACGACCCCTCGAGCTCGACAAGTTTTTAGTACTTTTTCTTCCTGTCACTAACCCAAACAGTTTTGTTAACTAAATGCCTATATTTTTTTGCATGATAGTGCCTTTTTAAAACCCCTGCACACAAAAAGAAAAACAAGAATCCCTTTAGGATAAGCGGTGGCCAGCCAAGCAGAACTAAAAGTGTCTGGGCTCATCTCACATCGGCTGTCTGACTTAAAGCTTCACGTTCTCGACAAAAAACCTTTCCAGTATTTAAAGAGTAAAAATGTGATGAAAGATGTGAATGGCTGACCTTGTTGCAAGGACATTTTGAGATGAAAATGTTGAGAACGTTGGAAGAAACGCGTTGAATTATGAACATGCCTGAACATCAGCTCATTAGAAAGACTCTTAAGTTCGACCAAAAAAATGCAAATATGTATTTTTCACCTTATTAGTTTTACTAATAAGGTGAAAAATACATATTTGCATTTTTTTTTTATACTCGGCACACTTTTGCCAAATGTAGCCTTGCACCATTTACACCGAAGCTGTAGCGTGGGCCGCGTGTTCAGCCTTAACGGGAAGTAAGGCTGCGTGATTGAATATAAATGTAATGCTAACCCAGATAGGTAGCTAAGATTATACAAAAAAACCTGTCTTGTCTGTTTTTGTAACAGTTATTTTCAGGTGAATTAGCAATTAGCTGTGAAATGTGATCAATTAGTCTGGACCCATTAAATTGTGCATATCTCCTTGTTAGTTTGTGTAGTTCACTATAGGCCTACCTTACATTAATCTTCTTCTTTTCATCCGAAAAACCTCCCTTGTTCCATCCCCTGTCTACTTCCCTTTTCTCACGACTTCATTGTTTCCCTTCCCAGGAGATAGCAGCTGACTGGCACTACATTGTGAGCCACTTACAGAGCCTTCCTTCCTCCTCCTTCTGCTTCTTGCTCTTCATCCCTGTCAGACTCCAAACATCTCCCGTAGCTTTTTCTGCCTCATTATCCTAAGCGATTCAGACATAAGTTTCTAAGATCCGAGGAAACCTTTTCTCTCAGTTGGTACTCTTTCATCGTTTTTGGTCCTTAGCTTTCCCTTGCTCAAAGTCATCCCTCTTGATCCTTCAGTTACTTTTACAGCAGCTTTTTTTGTGACGCATACAGTAGTGTTCTTCCTGTGCGAATCCAACATGCTGATTTTCACCATCCTAGATATTATTCACACGTCCCATTGAGGCATATTTAGTCTGTTTTGATTGGTGTCATTACCGTACTCAAGGCTTTACTTCACTACACGTTGATGATGTTGAGCCCATTTGAGAGTGTATTTACAGTCCTTAAACAATTTCTGTGAAGTTTAACACCTTGCTGACCATCTGTCTGTTGAAACCATGGAAAGCAGTGGTTTGCGACTGGCTGACAGGTGTCCAAATCCATGAGGACAGTATATCTAACAGCAGGTTTAAACAACAGTTTTTTAAGGTTGCTATTGCTAACATTTACGGTCATTATCAGTACAGAAACAGAACCTATACGTGGGCTAAACCTGATCATTCTGCCTGACATGGTCTTCATGTTAGCAGAATATTTTTTGGGGAGCAGAAAGTCTTGAGTTCTGTTAAACTATATCAACATATAAATGCAGAAGCTGTAGGAAACATGATACAATTTCCTCCACATAAGTGCCCTGGTTTGTAGTAAGAGTGGTATTAACCATTTCAAGCATTTTCCTAAAAAGTTAGCTGGTATGCTTTTGCCCGAATGTTATCTTAAAACCCATTGGTTATTGTCTGTCAACACATTTTTTTTATTAGCCTAAAATGTGCTTGAAACCAGCTAATTGTAAATGAGCCAGATGTCAGAAATCATCTCCCAATTCCATTTGTTTTTAAATTAGCTTATCAGACTATTACAGAAATGAATGCACGGAGAAGGAAGTATTGGCCCTGATATTCGATGGCTACACAGGACCCCCCAAAGTATTGGAAATGGCTTACAGGGGCTGAATCATTGTAAGACCAATAGCCAATGGGATTGGAGGCACCTCCTGAAAGTACCTGTAATTAACCATCAAAGCTGAGCCAAGATGTTCCACAAAGTTGTCAGAGATAAACCATGGCAACGTTATGTAGTTTAAAAGTGCTATAGGTGTATTTGTGTAGATTCTATGGAGCGTACAGTCATGACATGTATGCATTATCATCCTGAATCAACAAATGTAGATGCACTCTTGGTACAGAAGCAGGGGAGGGGGGAAGGGCAAGATCTAAACGTCATGGCTCTGGGGACACTGTGGCTTATACACTCTCCTGTAACCTAGTGTTAACCCTGCAGATTGATGACTGTATGCTAACTCTGCCCAGAGGGGGAATGCTCAGACCTTCCTCTCTAATGGATCAAAGAAAATGTATCCCTCCCCTTCATTCCCATCCTGCCCCATCTTCTTTTTATTTCTTTATTGCCTCCTCCCTGCCGTCCACCCCCACCTCATCCCCTCATAACTTCTCCTCCCCCGGCGAGGCCACATCCCAGAATCCTGTGGTCTCCCAGCAGCTGACGTAGTGAAACGAAGCTCTGCTGTCTGCCATGTTGTTCCTCAGCTTAAGGAGACAACGAGGGACCATTCAGACCAACGATATGCCTGTGATGGTGGCAGCGTGTTGTTGCAGTAACCAGTGACGAGACGAAATACAAACAAAAGTCCAGTTTGAAAGCAGAAAAGAAGATACATTATTAAACCATAAGATTTACATTCTAAAAAACCTGCTCAGAGACTTAGGAAAGAACATTTTTATCTGCACGATGCAAACTGTGCAAAGGCAGAGGAAAAAGACATTTAGACCAGATTTTTATTTATTAATTTTGATTTGTCTCAGCCCATACATCCTGTCAGAAACAAAATAAACAGATTTGTCTGGATAAAAGCATCAGCTAAATGCTATGTAATTTAATGTCGTTTTTTAATGTTCTGTAATAAGTACAAATATTTGACAATTTAAGAATTAACAAAATCCAACTTATAAAACAAAAGAAACACATTTCAATATACATACATCATTAATATTAAATGTAACTATACAAATGAAATAAAGCTTTACTTTCAACAGTCCTGGTTATTCTAAAAGGAAAATCCAATAAATCTATATTTGAACGTAATGAGAAACGTAGAGAGGCTGACTAATGCTGTTTTTGGCCTGGGACTTAATTATTAAAACCGGCCTTCCTGTTTCATAATTAATGACGTGGCCTGGTCCTGTAACAACACGACTACCAACCTCTGCCCCCTACATTTGCTATCTTTCGATAATGTGTTTGGTCTTGTGTGTATCTGTCTGTTATCTCGAATTATACTATTATTTATTATGCTCATTTACGACTGTGTGCTGCTGAAGGACTTCTTGTGGTGGCGGTGATTCATAATTATTGGTAAAACTCATTTTGAGGCTCTTTTACACTGTAATTCACTGCTGACTACTTTTCACCGGCCTAAAAACCAGCCTCACCCGATCTTAGGCCATGCGGCAAGATTGTGAGGGGGCAATATTTAGCATGATCACACCTCATGGAGAGCTGTTCTCTACTGAGGGCACTTTCCTAGTTTAGTCGTTTAGCATAATCGTTAACACTAATGTGTGGTGGGCTGCATAATGCACAAACGAACTAGTAGACTACTCCGTTTCTTCTTTTATCAGAATGAATGGGTACCGTAGAAAGTACAAGGTGTTTTATATGTTCTAAATTCTGAGTCAATTGCATCTACTTGAGAGACTTTCCTCAACAACAGATAGTAGGTGGTGTGATCCTGGTTATGTAAGCAATTACCAGAAGCAGAATTAGCTCTTCTTAAGGAGGATGTGGCGTCATTGATGTAACACAAGAGTCTGCTATTTCATCCCGTGTGCCTGCAATAGTCTTCATGAGTTCATTTGAACTGCAACAACAATCATTCTGTGAACATAACAAAGAGATTTTAGTGGCCTTAACCAGCAGATCAGAAAGTGCTTGCATAATATATATATATATATATTTTGTAACATATAAAAGAGGTCAATTTGGAATGCAGTCATGACAGGGTGTCCGCGGGGTCTTAAAAAGTATTACAAGTTGATAAATCAATTTAGCGAAAATGAAGGCTATTAAAAAGTATTAAACGGCATTTCCCAAGGTATTACATTTTGTAGCTTGTTTCCAATAAGTATATAAATTGTCCAAAGAGGTTGTATTCTACAGTCTGCCTGAATGTAATCATTGCGTAGGTGTGTAGTGTGATTCTGTGTAGTTTATTTCTGGCATCCCATTGGATGTGACATCATCTGAACAGGACATCGCACGCTCACTGCTTGATAGTACACGAAGGTCTGTTTACGCCGGTTGTTAAGCAACATCGTTATGGGGAAATGCAAGTTTGCGTCCAAATGGTTGGAAGATAAGGAGGAAGAAGAATCAATACTGTATATAGTCAATGTCAGGTAAAGTGTGTCGCCAAGGTAACCGGTTAGAACTCCAAGTGGCGATGAGGTCTTCAAATGTATGGAAAGGTTTTTAAAAAAGGTCTTACATTTGACTTCAGGATTCCTGCATATACCCTGTATGATTTCCGTCAATAAGATATTTTCACTTTCCGGGTGGTGGGTGACGATTAGGTTTTCAAAGATGCCATTCAGCACCCACACTGCATCCACTCTTGTCATTGAACTCAAAGGGGATGATGGACAATGTACTCTTGTGCTGTAGAAGACAGAAAGCCAGGATGTTCTGGTACACGATGACATTTTTACAACCAGTGAGAAAGCCTTGGAAGCAGAGCATGTCTCCAAACTGAGGCGTTGCTCCTTCTTGATGTTTTATTCACGAAAGGAAAAAAGCGAGCGCAAAGAGTGTGCATATAAAGAGCGATTTCAGCTTATGCTAATAATCATAATGTTGCCAGCCGCTGCGGAGCTTTTGACTTGAGTGAAATCTCCTCCCATCAGTGTCGTCTTTAGCGGCTAAACCGCACGGTGGATGTTACAGATATGTGCCTCCAAAACAGCTGGAGGCCAGATTATGGTGGAATATGCAGCCAGAAGTTCATACTATATCCACACAGGGAAAAATAATGAGGATCATCCTGCCAAATTATTCTGTCATTTGCTAGATTTTCTTACCTATTTCCCCCTGCCCATACATCCACTGAAGTCAGTGTTCAAGGTGAAAACCAGTTGCTATCATAAAGGCTTTTTGTCTTTCCCTTTATGATCGACACTATTGTTATTTCGACATTTACAAGCGACAGATGATCTGAATTGCTTGTGAGCCTGAAATGAACATGTCATGGCATTTATCTCTCTCCTGTGCCAAACATGTCCACCTTCATTCTCACCTTCAGATTCCATTTGAGATATTATTGCCATGTTATCACCAGCCGGCAGCTAGATTACATCTGACTTGTTCATTGTGACATCCTTCTCTCATTGGAGTCCCTTTGTGTCCTGCTTCGGTCAAGGCTGGAGAAATATCATGGATGTTCGGATAACAAAACGTGGTTAAAGTCAGTAAGAAACAAACAATGGTCTCACAATTGTGTAATGTGTTTAAATTACTTGCAGTCACTCAATCAATTCCCGTGTTTGACATCAACAGGGAGCAGGTCACGGTGCATAGATTGATGGATGTATGGCTCAAAGGACTTTCACTCAGGAGAGCGATGTGAATACCTGAAATTACTTCACTTACATGCATAAATAATTTAAGTAACATGGGAGGCATGTGGCGCAGTGGATAGAGCGTTGGTGTTCGGAGCAAGGGAGCATAGGTTCAAACCCCACTGCAGTCAGCATGTCGTTGTGTCCCTGGGCAAGACCCTTCACCCCAAATTGCTCCTGTGGGGATTGCCTACAGTATTGAGTATGTAAGTCGCTTTGGATAAAAGCGTCCAACATGTAATAATGTAACATATTACCAATTAATGAGGTGTTTAGAGGTTGTGGTCTTTTAATCTATTTATTTCATATCCCATTAGATTTTACTCATTAAAGTCTGTTTATTGCTACAGTCCAGGTGCAGAGCTATTACTGCACTTATTTTTGGCCTCAGACCTCTGCAAAGTCTAATGAATTGCTTGGAGTGATGATACTTGCCAATGTTAGCTTCAATTAGGGCTGAAGACTACTTGAAGCAGAATGCCAGAGGACATTTAAGGCCAAAAACTCTCTAAAGCAAACAAAAAAGCTATGTACAATTTATTCTATTTTTATGAACCCCAGAACGATTTTTAGAGCTCTAACAATAACAAAACTAATTTTTACATGATCCAACTGTGCTCATTTGTCTACACTGTATATATATATTTTTGCAGGAATGCTAACAGTGATCTACGATAGACAGGAAAGGTGTGCACTGTTTTACACTGTGATGCTGCTAAAACATTCAGCTGGGAAGTGACTCTGTTGTAGCAGCAGCAAGATGTGTGTGTGTGGTTTTTCAGCGTTGATAATATGGCCATCTTCGTTTCATGCCCTGTTACGTTATTACATTTCCTCTGTCTCTCATGGAGATCTAATGGCTGCCATCAAATTAGACGCAGCCCTACTGTAATTACCTCTGCTGTGTCATGTTCAGGCTGAAATAAATGTACTTGTCACTTAATATTGCACTTGAATGAAAATCTTGTGTTTTTTTTTGGTTAATGTTGATTTCAAAAATCTTGTATTTTGGCCTCCCTCTTTTGAGATCTGTATGTAAGTCACTGTGGTGTGTGTGTGTGTGTGTGTGTGTGTGTGTGTGTGTGTGTGTGTGTGTGTGTGTGTGTGTGTGTGTGTGTGTGTGTGTGTGTGTGTGTGTGTGTGTGTGTGTGTTGAAAGGGGTCACAGACACTTTCTCTTCTCACAGAGGCAGGTGCACCTTGACCTCGTCATGGCGACGTCTTGTGCTTGTCAAATCCTTGTGAAAAAGGAGCAGACAGTTAGATACCATGTGAACATTCAGTCTGGCTGTTTGAAAATCCACTAATCTCTGTGGACAATATACAATACTCGCCTTTAACTCAGAATATGTATTTTAGCAGCAAACTTCACGGGAGGATCCACAACGAACAAAAAAAAACAAGTGTTCCCTCGTCAACAAATCACAAGTTTCATTCAATGTTTTCTTTTTCCACGTCAGATATGGTACACTTACATAAAGGTAATGCAGGTTGTCGCGTTATAATGCAGCATAAATAAAGGTTATAGGTAAATGGGTTACCCTGAATCAAATAATGTTTAACACTTGTCTGAATAATAAGCTCAGAATTGACGAAATATAAAACTGTCAACACCTTTTTCTCACTATGTAGGCTTTGGAGCGTTAGAATATATTTCCTCAAATACCATCTCACTTTAAAACTCATTGGTTTGAATACATGTGCGATTCATACTTGTTGAGTGCTTTGAAATGAAAGGGACTTTGTGTCCACATTTAAGAGGTCGGCCTTTTGAAGTCAACCTATTAAATGAAATATCACCAACATTAGCCTCCAGCTAATTAATTCACCATCAATAGAGTGTACGTCTGAGTGTGATAAGAGTCTCAAGTTTAAGTCAAACTGTTTAATATATTCTTCTGCTTGCTGAAGACCTTTTCCTCTCTGTTGAGGAGCTATTCCTCTGAAGTTGTGAATGTTTCAGGACCGTATGGAGCTGCACTGTGGGTGTTTCTCAATGTTGAGTACGCTCGCTTGGTAGCACATGTCTTCCGAGCATCTTGGTTCAGAAGCTAGGCAAGAATACTTCCTGGCATTCGGAAAACAAAGAGTGGAACAGGCGAGCCAGTGTGCGTCATATGTGAGGCCCCGCCTTACATTTTCCGCCACAGATAGAGTGGCGAAGTCACGCCCAGTTACTTCTGCATCATGGGACCTTATTCTGAAAAAATAATACATTGAAGTCAATGGAGAGAGAAAACTTATCTTTTGATCCCGTTTGAATTGTGCCATGAATTACACATATGTTGTTTGTCAATCTTAAAAAATCATTTCCATGTCAAAATATTCGCGTAAGTGCTGTCATAACTGCTGTATTCCCTCCAGATAGCTAAAAATACATTTACTTACTGTACTTACTTACTTTAACAAGATGCCTGTGTGCTTTGTACCAGGTTGTTATCATACCAGTAATAGTACCTCTTGCTCGTTCTCAACTACAACTAAAACAAAACACGAGAGTGTACCTTGTTAGCTAATGTTAGCTAGCTGACATTAACGTTACACATTACACTCGTGTTACTCACCGAAACCTTGTAAAGCCGGTCCCGCATGCTGGCTCTTACGGAACCGACTAACTCCCCTTTTTCGTATGTACAGCTCTCAACATGCCCAGACTTGTAGTGATTTTCACCTCTTTTAATACTTTTCGCCTCATTCTGAAGGGCATGTTGAGAGCTGTACATACGAAAAAGGGGAGTTAGTCGGTTCCGTNTAGGATGCGCCTCAACGTCGCCCGCTCTGGCCCCCGGAATGCATGTGACTGTGGAGGCTTTGGTCTCTAAATTCACGTATCTCATAAGAGAGCTACCAATAACCAGAGCTTTAAACTTTAAGGACGTGTCCCAGAATCATTGAACATTCCCACTAAGTTACTAATACTAACTGAGTTACAAGAATCTAAGGTATGATTATTAAAAGTTCTTAAACATTCGCTTTCTTTTAGGTGTGATGTTGATTGACACTATTTACCTGCTGATCACACCTGGAATAATGAACACAATATTTAACCTAAAACCATTTCCACATGTTGATCCTGCTCCTTCTGACTCTAACATTCTTCAGTTTAATATGTCATAGAGGATACAGTTTCCAAAGAGCGTTAGGACGATGAAGTAGACTGAGGAGAACATGCCCCCATGTACGCCCCCATGTGATTCGATGCCGTGGTACATCACAGCGTTCCAGTCCTCGCCCGTCAGAATCTGAGGAAGACAAGAGATCTAAAGTGACGCCGTAGTTCTGTGCAAATCTCACAGAGTAGAATTAAATTACTTTACAAAGTGAAGGGTTACGAGCCCAGACTAATTGAAGGATTATCAACGAGCTCATTAGGGGACAGAAGGTACACAGACCAGTCATTCCCTCTAATTAAAATGCCTGATAACAATCCTTCGTTTTCCATAAAGTCAACGTTCTACCGTTAAAGTTGATGATATTAAGTGCACCTCATTTGTGTGTGTGTGTGTGTGTGTGTGTGTGTGTGTGTGTGTGTGTGTGTGTGTGTGTGTGTGTGTGTGTGTGTGTGTGTGTGTGTGTGTGTGTGTGTGTGTGTGTGTGTGTGTATACCTGGAACACAGTGAGGATGGCTGCTGCAAACGTATCAAAGTTGGTGGTTGGGGTCTCTTCTTCAAAGTTAAACCTGAAAGAATCATAGTAAGAACATCATTACTCACTACTGGGTTTAATCTAGGGATAATCCTCTTTAAGTAACACGATCAAAACTAGTAGAAAGCACAACAAGAAGACCCAAATTGGGGTATTCTTTAACAATCAAGGCTGTACGTTTATACCCTAAACTTTGCGATTACGTTGAGCCAAACCAAACAGTTACATACTCAGGAAATGAAAACAAAATGTGCTCCAAAAAGGTCTATATCAAATCAGTCCTTCAAAATAAGTGACACATAGGCATAGGAGAATTTTTCTCCAGAATACTTTACAGCTTCAGGTGGTGACTAGAGTATTCATAGATGAAACAAGTTGTTTTGTATTGATAATGGATGAGACAGAAGGACAGGGAGTGAAACATGTAGCAGCAGCAGGAAACACTAGTCCCCAGGGGGCCACAGCTCAAACGTTCAAGTCCCAAACACACTGCCTCTGCAGCTCAGGGATGCACAATGTGACATGTGTCACATGCTAAAAGTGAAGAAACTGCGATGCAGCACGTCAAAAGACTTACAGGGAGTATAAACATCGAATATATTGAGCAAATGTAGTTGATACCCAGATTGAGTAAATTTTTTAACTGTCATTTAAAGAAGTCATGTATTCATAATACTGAGAATGTTGGCTGTAAGGATCTGGGTATTTAAGTGTCTCCTTGCTTCACCACCACAGAAGAAGATGTGCTTTCAGTTGACAAGATAATCAAAGTTGCCTGGATATGCCCCGCAGAGTTGCTAGCCTCAAAAGACAAAACAAAAACAACTTTACTTCAAGAGTTTCAATGAAAACTACAGCTGTGTGTGTGAAGCGGGTTTATATAGAGTATCATACAGACGTCCTACAGTGACAGTAGGTTTTTTGGCTTAACACAACAGAACTGCTGAATACGAAGACACTGATTAGGAGTGAATTATGATTTTCTCTATAGAATGTGCATGCAAGAGCTTATATCCTAGCAATGTTCCTTTAACGTGTTTCTTCTCATATACATATTGACCCCCAAAAGCCCTTAATATCGGTTCAAAAGTTTATATTTTTCATTGAAATCTCATATTTTGTTCTGCTGAAGGGAATGAATGAAATGTCTTTCACACTCCTATGAACAACCTTATGATTCAAATCATGTGATAGGTCAAAGCAGTCAGAGGAGCGAGAGCAGAGTAAAACGTGTAAGTGTTGGGACAAAAAACCCGCGAAGGAAGAGAGCAAAGAGGAAGAAGAAGGGTCTGTAAAAAGGAGAAGACGGAGTAGAGCACATTTACCACAGTTACCGTGTCTGCAAAAATGACAGCTGGTTTGTCTTCAACAGAGCAGATCCTGTGAGATGTGTTTGTGTGTTTGTTTATTTACTGTACAGTATGTATGTATCTTAGATTTAGAGGCTGATTTCAGGCAAAAATGATGATCAGATCATTTTGTGATGACAGTATGTCTTAATAAACACACGACAACATGTTGGTATTCGAAGCCCTTTGGTTTCAGTTTGTAGTCGTAGTGGTATTGTCACGTTCAGGCAGACATTCGCTAAATGTAGGGAGAAGCTTTGTGTTTAGTACAAGTGAAACGCACTGGCCCAATCTTGGTTTCCATTGGCTATAATCTGATGTTTTAAAAAGAATAAACTGTTAACTGTGTAAACAGGCTCATAAAACAATGTTACACTCTTAACTCCAATTTGTAATCAAACAGTCAACATGAGCAAGAGGAAGTTGTGGCCTTGTTATTTCGAGGCCTAACCATAACTCTTTGGTAAAGATAATAATGAAGTTTTCGTAAAATAGGTTTATTCGTCATTTGAATTGCATACGTTTAAAGGTGGGGTGGGTAAGTTTGAGAAAACGCCGACTCAAGATACCTTTTTGTTTAGATTCCATGGAATGCTTTAACATCCCGATAGCAATGAATATCTGAAGTGCTTTGACAAAAAAAATCCATAAAAAAATGTCATCTGTGGAAGCCGTAGTACTGTAAAAAGCACGACCTAAAATTATTGGATGGCCTACCTGCCTGTCAGCCTTCCATCTGTGCACAAACTTATCTCGTTCCCTCATTGGTCATGTGCGCGTTCGTGTGTTTTGGAGGAGGGGCTCTGTAAGGAAGTGGCAGATTTTTTCCGGTTGAGTATTTTCAAATTCTAGCGCACTCGAGCTGGTTTCTCCAAAATCACCTACCCCACCTTTAACTGGTGAAGTATATAAGATACGTAACCAAAGTAACTTTGTCACCCGTGCTGGCTCCCATTTGAGTGAACATTGAGTGAGCTTGTGAAATGAGATGTTCCACTATTACTCTTGGCTATAATGTTCAGGTATTTATATACTATTGGTCATGTGATGAACCACTGAGAACCCCATATCCAAAGCATGTACTGGTGTGGCCCTAATATGTGCATAAGGGAGACAGGGGAAGAAAGAGATTAGAGGGGGAGGGGCAACTAATTCAATACGCCTTCCCTCCCTTGGTATGTCATCATACAGTAGTCTCAGGGTGTTTCTCAATGTCGAGTAAAGCTGCTCCAGAGCCACTATTTCAAGCATACTACGTCATCGAGTGCCGCCAAATTACTGTTCCAATGCGTAGCATACTTAGAATTCCACCGAGCCCGGCGCACTTCGTAGCGGGAAATTTCGAGGCTGCATATGTGTAGACTCCGCGGTCTTAAAATCCCCACAATGCTTTGCGCACGGACCAATTTCCCAAAATCTGTGGCGGAAAATGTAAGGCGGGGCCTCTCATATGACGCACACTTGCTCGCCTGTTCCACTCTTCGTTTTCCGAATGCCAGGAAGGATTCTTGCCTCGCTTCTGAAGGAAGTGACTCGGAAGACATGTGCTACCAAGCAAGCGTCCTCGACATTGAGAAACACCCTCTCTCTCCATGCTTCCATCCTCTATCTTTGTCTTTCTCCTTCCCATTAATGCATCATCCATCAACCAACCCTCTATACCCATAGCTCATCCCTCCATCACTTTCTCCATTTTCATTTCCCCCTCCTCGGGCTCGGTGTGGGGAGTGTCGACGGCGGTGGATGCTGCTGCGCCTGTGTGCTCCGACCTCTGTTTACTCTGATAATAGGGTTTGGGAGCGTGCTGCTTGGCTTCCGCACATCATCCACGGGGACTTCATTAAATCAATGCTGAAAACAAGATTCATGTGAAGCCAAACTCCCCACCAGCAAGTGCCCCCCCCCCCCCCCCCCCCCCCCATATCTGATACTTACAGCAACAGCAGCATGTTTACAAAATAACAAACAACATCAAACTGCTGAGCGATGAAACTGTGACATGTATCATGCAAGATATCCTGCAGGAAATAGGACTGGCTTTTACAATATGAGGAGTGTTGAATACAAATGGCAGCTCATTGGATACAGTACTGTATGTGAGGGCTGCCACTAGTCACTCCTCACTGGGTCTTATTGCAATGACTATGATGTTGTTATTCTTATAATGGCTGAAAACTGCAAACGTTTTTACAAAAATAGTGGTTTTATTTGTGAAGATTTGTGAGGTTTTTTGCAATAAACTGGTTCAAATTGATATTATTTTTTAAGTTCCATAGAGTACAGAAATTAGTTTGAAATTGAGAAAAAATGAAATGCCATCTCTTCTGTAAATGACAAAGTCAGAGTCAATCAACAAAATAAAAACAGAAAGCAGAAAGCAGCGAACGGAAAAAAGAAATCCCTCTTCCTATTACAGTAAATCCTGACCGTTTGAGCTTATCACATATTTTCTCCAAACAGTCGGTGATGTCCTGTGAGTCTCAGTGGGGAGACGCTCCTCTGCTTCAAGCTGTTTATCTTTCAGTCCTCACAATTTTACCAGGAGATTACTTTTGGTGTTTTGAGAGCAGGAACATAATCTCTGAGCCAGAAATACAGTCGGTATAGTGCAAAGCATTCTTATTATTAACAAGTGTTTTAATCTTCTTTTTAGGGTTGAAATACCTTCTTTTTTTTATCAAACAATTGAAATGATCTGCCTAAGAAAAGGATGGATTTCCTTTGGTATCGATTTAAACAATGAGATTATCTGCAAGCCAAATAACAGTATACTGCCTGTTGGATTCCTATCTTAAGAAAATGAAATTAGTTGACACGCTTTGTATATTTTTAGACTTTGAGGTGAAAATGTGTGCTCGGCTGTCTGAAAGCACCATGTTGACGTCAGACCCATCTCACACGTGTCCATCTCCAGAGTCTGATGTGATGCTAATGATGGTGCAGACTGATGTGAGGCTTGGCGCCATGACAACAGCCTGTTGCCTCAGAGACATCCAGTGGTGGTGTTTGTGAAGGCCGTCAGTCCCAGGAGACGAAGTCAGGGGATTGGGAGGGTCCCTTTAAAAATGTTATCCTCTACAATCACTAATTACCTGTAATCACTAACCTTATCTTGGTATCATGATAGAAGAGTAATGATACCTGAGGACTTCCCTCTACTTCAGATTTACGTCATTATCAAATGCAATGCAAGTTAATATAAAATAAAGATATGTAAAAAAAACAATGCTGCTTTTTCTGTTGAGCAAAAACTCTGAAAGGGAAATAAGTGCACAAGACCTTATTTCTTATTTTAAATGAACAATAAAAAAAATATCTTACACAGGGTCTACAAAAATGTATTATTATTATAGCATCAAGGGAAGTGTAGGATTAACTGTATTTAACTAATCATTTTTGACCATTCTTTGTTTTATCTGGCTCCTGTACATTCCCAATTTAGATTTGAAATACTTATTGAGCTAAAGAGAAACTTGGAGCCTGGAGCTCTCCGTTCATTTTCCAGTGTACAAAGCTTGTTGAATATCGTCAAAGTTTCCCTGAGATTTGCAGCAGACCTCTGATAGGCACTGTAGACATGCTGTCATATGATAGGACAGGTTGTACTCAAACCATGTACACAAATCTAACAAGCTAGTCAAACTAATTTGTAAGAGAAAACAAAGGTAACATGTCAACTGAATGCCAAAATGGCCCTTTGTAAGAATCCATCACTGCTTTATGGATCAGCATCGTGATATGTACCGTAGCTGTGCACACAGTCTCACTGTTCAATGAGAGACCACTCACATTGTCTCAGCTGTGCTCACTTGCAGTTGTATTTCCAAAGTGGTGAAGGTAATCTAGATAAGCTGTTCACAACACCTGCTTGTGCCTCATGTCCCATTGGACTTCAGTGTTGCTCTGTTTCCCTTTTGTTTATAATGTTTTAAACCTGAGAGGAAAATAAGACCCAAGTCGTACTGTAATAAGCCTAAACTATCTTTTTGGGGGCTTTTAGAAATAAAGTTAAGGATAATTTTCTTGTGAGCCAAAAACCTGAATAAATAAAGGCTGTTGTTGTGAGGAGACAGAATGTAAAGTGTTGGTTTTATCAGGGTTGAGTCAGACGGGGTTGGGTGCCAGGCCTTTGATTATCTGCAGCCAGCCCAGAATCATGAGGTGTTCCTGCCATTAGGAGACGCGGGGCCCCTGCTGAGAGCCGTATCAAAGGGCCACAGTGGCTGCTGCTGCTCTGCCAGCCTCCTGCTGCTGCGGCAACATGTCTGTCACCGCCGCCACGCAGGGCCAAGGATCACACACAGAGCAGCAGGGTCAGGTGAAGAGATGGAGTGTGTGTGTGTGTGTGTGTGTGTGTGTGTGTGTGTGTGTGTGTGTGTGTGTGTGTGTGTGGGATGTAAAGCGAGACAAAGTGGGATCAGAAAACAGGAGGGAAAAGAAAGAATACTCACATTCCTCCGAAGAGCTGCATACCGAGCAGAGCAAAGACCACGATGAAGAGGAAGAGGAGGAAGAGCAAGCTGATGATGGACTTCATGGAGTTGAGGAGGGAGACCACGAGGTTCCTCAGCGAGTTCCAGTATCTGAGAGGAAGCGCAAAACACGCGGACACAGATAAATGACTTTTTTTGTTTAGAGAGAACACACAGACAAAGACAGAAACACTGAGGAGGTTTGAGAGGAACAAATATAAATATGAGCTGTAGGTGGCATAAAACAAATCAATGCGTCAGGGTGCGCAGCTGCCAGTTCCAGTGAATCACAGGATTACAGCTAATCTATGAAATAAAAGGATTGCCATTGAACTCTAACAGGATTGTCGGTTCAGAGAGAAAAAAATTGACACTTCAGCCCTTATAAAAAGTGCAGCATCCTGCAACAGAAACCTTGTATCTCCAAAATGCATTGCCTTTAAAATAAGTAAACGTACAAATCTCTAAGCCAATGACATTGTATTTTAGATGTGTTTTCTTGCCAGTTCATTGGGAACAATGTCTTGTGAAATAACCGCAAGAACCAGAGTTTTTCTTACTTTAACTGCACTGGTTTTACATATGTCAAAACACAATCTGTGAAAACTGTCGTATCAAAGTGTTCTGTAGCTCTGGATAAGCTTTTTCAAAAACCCTTATGATGTGATCAGTCATATCACAGAACATGTAAAACAGAAAGCAATACAAAAAGGAGGTGTGAGCTTTCAAAGACGAAACTGTCAGGGTGGGGTGAAGCAGGCAGGACCCAAATGCAGAAAAAACTGAAAATACCTTTATTTCAAGGTTGCAAAATTGAATAAACAGAACACTACCCATGAACACGGTCATAGACAAACAAGAAAGCAACAATGACTGACAGCAAAAACAGAACAGGTGAGGAGGGAGGAGAAAACACAGGGGCACCAGGTGAACACAATCAAGTAAACAGGTAGGAGGGAACACACACAGACAGGAAACAAAAGACAGATCTAGACAAGACAAAACACAACACAGACAGATCGTGACAGAAACAATCAAGGCAATGAATGTCTAATGAAAGAATACACTGTGTTGCATTCAAAGGGAAACATCCAGGTCCGTTAAGTGAAGCCAAAGAGGAAATGCCATTAACCTGCATTCTTTCTATTGGCCAGCGCGGTGGCATTATGGAAAAAGTATCGACAGGGTTTTTTATTAAGTTTGACCCCTACTTAGGTGTTTAAATATTTTTGGGAATGTCAGTTCTTCAGTTCCCATCTTGCTTTGTGGAATGCAAACAGAAGTGTATTCTGATAAACAACAGAATAAGGATTGGAAATGTGCAAAATGCAGAAAATGCTTTGGGTATGTAATCATGACAGAGAATTTGGTGAAATTAAAGGACGTATTTTTTAAAAAGAAGTTTCGAATTGAACTCACTTGGTGACTTTGAATATCCTGAGCAGTCGCAGCGCTCTCAACACTCTGATTCCGAACGATGCTCCGGGTTTAATCATGTCCCAGATCACCTCGCAAATACTTCCCACAATCACCTAGACAACAGAGCAAAGAATAAAGTTTTCACGTGCTGTTATTGCGTTAACTACACTGAACAAAAATATAAATGCAACACTTTTGTTTTTGCTCCCATTTTTCATGAGATGAACTCAAAGATCTAAAACATTTTCTATATACATTTTTCTATATAACACAAATAAAACCAGTTTCTCTTCTAAAATATTGTTCACAAATTCTTGAAAAATCTTGTGATAGTGAGCACTTCTCTTTGCCCGAGATAATCCATTCCAACCTCACAAGGTGTGGCAATATCCCAAAGATGCTGGATTAGGACAGCATGATTATTGGCACAGGTGTGCCTTAGGCTGGCCACCAATAAAAGGCCAACTCTAAAATGTTCAGTATTTATCATCCAGCACAACAATGCCACCAGATGTCGTGAAGTTTTTGAGGAGCGGGCAATTGGCATGCCTGTCAGCAGGAAATGTGCACCCGAGCTGTTGCCCGTGAATGGAATGTTCATATTTCTCTACCATAAGGCCATCTCCAAAGGCGTTTCAGGATTGGCAGTACAATCCAACCGAACCTCACCCAACCGCAGACCCACGTGTAACCACACCAGGGCCCAGGGGACCTCACATCCAGCCTGGGTGACATGTTAGTTTTAAGGTTTAACCCTAAACCCGTAACCCCTAAAATTGTCACCATTTGAGCCATGTTGGCTGGATGCTCTGGATCGGGCGTATCGACCCAGCGTGTTCCAGTTCCTGCCAATATTCCAGCCAACTTCGCACCAGCCATTGAAGAGGAGTGGACCAAACATTCCACAGGGCCACAATCCAACAACCTGATCTACCCACTATGCGAAAGGAGATGTGTTGCACTCTGCGTGAGGCCAAATGGGTGGGTCACACCAGGATACTGGAACTGGTTTCGGGACCCCTCCAGAACCCCCCAAATAAAGCAAAACGTGCACGGTTTCGCAGAGTGGCCTTTTATTGTGGCCAGCCTAAGGCACACCTGTGCAATAATCATGCTGTCTAATCAGCATCTTGATATGCCACACCTGTGAGGTGGGATGGATTATCTCGGCAAAGGAGAAGTGCTCACTAACACAGATTTTTTCAGATTTGTGAACAATATTTAAGAGAAATGGTTATTTTGTGTATATCGAAAATGTTTTAGATCTTTGAGTTCATCTCATGAAAAATGGGAGCAAAAACAAAAGTGTTGCATTTATATTTTTGTTCAGTGTATCTACTTTTGAGTCATAGTGAATAGTAACTTACCCCAAAATCAAAGCAGTTAAAGGAGGAGTGAAAATAATTCCTCACTCCGAGGCCGTACATCTTCAAGGACATCTCAGTCAGAAACAAACCCAGGAACACAAACTCTGCTGCGTCTGTTTCCAAGAGGCACAGAGGAAACTGTTTACAGCCCACCAGCATCAATAAGTGTGGCAGAATAAGTGTGTATTTGTGTGTGGGACTTACAGAGGGCCCTGGTGAGCCACTCGGGCTGGTCGTAGTGAACGATGGCCACGCACAGAGTGTTCAAGCCCACCAGACACAGAACGATCCAGTAGAAGCTCGGAGCCTTCACCATGCGCCGGATGAAGAAGCGCATCCTCTTCTCTTTGCGCCGGAAGTACGAGGAGCTGTCCATCTTACCGCTGCTCTTCACGCTGGCCCGACCAAACGGAGAGCCAGGAGGAGCTGGAGGGAGAGGAAATGTGTAGGTAATTATGTGTCACCGTTTCACAGCTTTCACACTGAATCACTGTGTGTGTGTTCCTTGTATTATTCCTGTTACTGTAATTAGCAGCATCAGCCAACACATCAGAAACTTGTTGCAGTCTATTTCAATACAGACATTTTTCACTGTACTGGATTTGTTCACAACTAATTAACATTCACACACATTCACACACCGCTGTTCAGGCCGAGTCATCCATGTTAGAGCATAACTTTAAAGTAGGACAGGATGGAAATGCTAAAGTCAAGTAAAAGCATGTGAAAATTGTATATATTTAAGAACAGTGTTTGATTAAATGTACGTATTTACTTTCCACCACTACCGGATCCTTCAAAGGAAGATGTTAAATCTATCGTACACAAACAGAACATGTGGTTCACAACTTTTCACCTGTTAGTGTGCACAGTTCGGGCAACAACTGTGCTACTTTGCAATTATGCTGTAGGAAATTAGAGCAGATGGTTTAAAAGACAGAAGCATAATAAGATATTGATGTGTTGAGAAGAGATCATTTCACACCTGCTAACAAGCACTGAAAGATGTTTGTGGCCAAAACTCTAACTTATAAAAGTAACAACACCTCCCCAAGGGGACCAAAAGCAAAGCGTAAAATCACCTGAACACTTAAATTTCTCTTGCAGCTGCTCATTAAAAAATGTGCACCTAATATATGTGTACCGTGGAGAAGGACTGCAGGCATCGTGTGCGAAAAGAAAGGAGACAAAATGTGACTGTAGCATACCTCTATTCCCTCGGCACTTAATTTAAAACGGAAAACAATCTTATGATGATAGGAAAAAAGTATTGAAGGCAACCAAATGGTTTCAATTACCATGCTTCTGCTCATTTCCAACCCACAGACAGCCAATTACATGTTGTCTTTATCCATTAATTTAAAACAAGTATAATTCTAATATGCTGCAGGTGATCCTCCTGCCATTTGGATGTAACAGTCTAATTAGAAAAGTTAATTATACTTATTTTCCCTCAAGGTGGTTTGCCTGTGCTGCAGGAGAAACAGCTTTAATGGAGCTGAATCTGCTTCTGTAATGTTCATTTTTCACGTTTGAGTGAGATATCGTAAAAAAATGTGTACTGTTCAAGTGACATTACATCTGATAAATGGAGAGCAGAGTCAAGGTTCATTGTAAAGACAGGCTTTTATGGTGGCTTTTATATTCTCATATTTGAGAACAGACAGCATGTGAAGGTGGGAGGTGGGGTGCAGGTGACGGAGGATAAGAAGACTTACGGACGGAGGAGATGTCAGCGAAATGATCGTCCCCCTCCTCGCCTCCTATCAGGTCGTTTTTACCTTTCTTTGCTTTGCCACGTTTATGGACTGTAATGAACAAAGGACGGAGAGGAAAGGGGAAATGATCAGATATGAGTCGTAAAATATGATATCAGCAAGTAGGTTCAAACACACAAGGAATCTTTAGTGTATAATGGTGCGTACATTAACACAGTATAAGAAATAAGTTATTTAAGAGTTTCATTGTAATAACTACTCTGTAGCTATGCACACATGAGAATAAAAGCCTTGAAACTTGAAGTTGTAAAAAGGGATCAAGTATACAATTATTTCAAGACGTCAATGTAACATAAAAAGCAAGCATTTTCCAATTGTATTTCAATAGAACAACCTTCCTCCCCTTGCAGGATATATGTGCGTGCGTGTGTGTGTGTGTGTGTGTGTGTGTGTGTGTGTGTGTGTGTGTGTGTGTGTGTCAAATTAGAGGGGTGAGCTAATTGGAACCTATGAATAGCAGACATCAATCATGTTTTTCATTTGGAGATGTTCTGCCTTCCTGTTTGAAGCCAGCCTTGGAAAGAGAAACTGCCGGCCCAACATGAGAGATCTTCACGTGTCAGTGGAGCGCTGGGCTGAGGCTCAACATCTACAATCCACCATCTCTGCTCAACAAAAAGCTGCTGGGAGGCAGAACCAGTAGAAAAACGATCTGGCTTTGACACTGAGCAACACTAAGAAATACATTTTTTATGGAATCCTTTTAGTTTGTAATTGAGATCCACAAAGCTGGGAAAGAATCTGCCAGCGCTGTGAGATAACCTCATCTTGTTTCCAATTAAAACTTTCTTGATTGAACCCCCTACCTTTGTGACATCCCAACCTTAGGGCAGCACGACAGCTCTTTTAAAAAGGCAAAGTTTCTGAATATGGGCCGTCGAGATTTGATATTCTTAAAGCACATAGACCTTCTTTATGATAAATAAAACAAAAGACCTTTGCATCTCACTCGTTACACTATGAGGCATTTAATGAATGAACACATGATCTTCAAGGTAGGAAGACAATTAAATTCATGATCAGTGTTTTAAAGTGTTTCTCAAAAATACATTCAAATAGTGTGTGGGATTATAACTCTTTATAGGGAGCTGGATCTGGTTCTCTTTTTCATTTTTCAAGTCATGAAAATAAGTTATTTAGGTAGAAATGATTTGCAGGAAACGACTAGGCCAAAAAAAAAGCCTAAAAGACCATTTGCTCAATTTCTTATCTCTATACACCAGTTGAATGATTGAATAATCTTTTTAATTCAACAGTACTGAGTCAGGCAGCTATGATTGGCACTTTACCCCCATATTCATGCCTGTCACTCATGTGATGAAGGCCAACTCCTTATTTTCTGCTCTAACAACATCAGAGTGGCTTTCCTCTGGCTGTGGACGCACACGTTTTAATCCCTGATATGTAACTAACTGAAAAAATATGGCAGCTAGGTGCTGTCACTTTACTGTGTGTGTGTGTGTGTGTGTGTGTGTGTGTGTGTGTGTGTGTGTGTGTGTGTGTGTGTGTGTGTGTGTGTGTGTGTTGGGGAGCGTGGCATAGTGAATTTACTTTAACAAATCCAATCAGACTTAAGCTGTAAATCCCACTAATTAACCCTTGCCTTCACACCAGGCTGATGGACTGACATCATCAGGAGAGAGAGGGAGAGAGGTAATTGAATAACAGTGTGCTCTCTTTCAAAGGAAGGCAACAAGAGTACAGAGTGGAAACCATGGCAACCACTTAAATAATGATGTACGTAAGTGCTGATTATATGATTAACAGTTGGCTGGCATGGCTGCAAACTGCACAATTACACAGTTAGGGGTTAGTGGAGTGGAGGGACAGCCTTACGCATAGTTTGGTATAAACTATTATAATAACATGCTGAAAATAAATAGAATAAAGTTTTATAATTGAAGATAATATATATTGGAAGACCATGTGTGCTAAAAATAATAAATGGTTAAATAATTGGGCAAAAAAGGTTTTGCCAGGTGGAAAAAAAACAAAAATAAATGTTGTTGTTGTAATAGTAATTTAAGCCACAAGAGGCCTAAGTGCATCACTATCCTGAGTTCTACAGGAAATATATTTGTTTCAATATATTCAAATTAGATAAATTATCCTCACAGAATTTTCCATTTTCCAAATATTCTTAAAAAAAATTAAAACATTTAAGTAAAACAATTCAGTCAATTCAATCAGGCTGAGAAAACTGACCACCAGAATGGTTTTGTTCTCACTTGCTTCTGAGGGTTTCCATACAGTCAAATATGTCTGAAGTTGACTTAAACATCCACTTCACAAAAGGGAACCAGATCACAATCTTTACGAAGGATTTATGGAAAGCAAAACGATGCTGTAATACATCTAGAAATGATGTATCATGATAAAGCAGGCAGCAGTTACTCAGCCTTCTTTATACCTGGAAGGTTTTGCTTCCTCTTGTACCACGCACCGTCCAGCGGGGACTTCTCTTCTGCTATCTCATCCTCCTCCTCCAGCAACACCTCCTCTGCAGCGAGGGAGAGAAATGAGAGAGAGAGGGACTTTCTATCAATTTGTCATGTCTTTCTAACACAACAAACACATACGAGCCAGCTCTCCCGCTGTTTCAGAGATGAGTCTGACCTGCTTTGCAGATCCACTCCAAATACCCAGTGAGCTCTCGCTCGATCTGCTGCTGCCGGCGGAGCTTCAGGAACTCCTGCCTCTTCTCCACACGCTCCCTCTCTTTGGCAAACTCTCTGTGGAAAATGACACACAGGAAGAATAGTTCAAATAACTAAAAAGCATGTGAAACATCTGATAGAGTGGTTCTCAACTTGTTAGGCCTCGGAACCCACTTTTTACTTTGTCAATAAATAGCGACCCACCATTTTTGAACCACTCAAATCTATTCAACAAAACATCGTGCTGTAATATATATATATTTGCTTCTCAGCATACGATATTAATTAAAGTGAAGTACAGTGCATATATCCCGTATATCCCTTCACAGAACCGAAGTATGCTTTTAAAAAGGTTTAATGAGATGGTGGGATCAAAGCTGAAACTGTATAACATAAAAGGCAGACATGCTGAAAACACCAGAAGGGGTCTGGGGGGATTCTCCCCCAGGAGATTTTTAGAAATACTATTATATAAACTACGCATTCTGGTACACTCTGAGAAGAAAATAAATACATCTATTACTACCCGACATATTAATAATATGTTCTGCCATTGTTTTTTTTTTCACAGACCTTCAAAATAAAAGTTTGAAAAACAGACACAAAAAATATTCAATTTTTTTTTTTTTTTTTTTTCTTCACTCGCACATCCACGACCCACTCGAAACGGGTCCGCGACCCACTTTTGGGTCGTGACCCACCAGTTGAGAACCACTGTGATAGAGGAACATCTGTATTTGTATACATTTACAATGGGATCTTGGGAATTACAAAACCAACAAATGTGTTTGTATTGGTATAAAGGAAGTAGAAGTTGAAGAGTTAATTCGAAGGAATATGAACTGTGCAGTTCAGGCGACAGCAGCTGTTAAAGGCAAGAAAGAGGCAGGAAAAGGCCGTCGGCGAAGCTGGAGCGAGTAGATATTTATGTAACTTATAGGATGTGAGAGGGCAGAGGAAGAGCAGTGAAGTGTGATGATGTGACATGACAGATCAGAGAGGCATCACATGTCGCTCTTAAAGACAGCATACAATACTGTATGGTGATATGTTCAGGGATGTCAATTAAAAGATATGTTTGGATAAAACTAGAAAAATGAAATGTAAATTGGAGTGATACATATTGTGTGTTTCCAGCCCATGGAAAATGACGCCTGTGGTCTTTTCAATATCTTGCCATTTAATCAAAATGTTCTTGGCTGAGGTAATAAACCAATTCATTACAGTACAATTAAGGTGGATGGATGAAAGACAGCATAAAAGGTTAACAAAACATCAGAGAAACTGGAAATCCGGACGAGTATTTTCCATTAACTATTTTAATAGAAAATTAATGGACAATGGCCACTTTGATTCTGGCTGAATAGGAAGTTTCACAGAGTTTTTTCTAACATTTTAAACTTTGTTTGAAATCTGTTTCATTGATATGCTTTTTTGAAAATACACTTTTAACAGAATTACTATTGAAATATGGTGGATGGTAACTGATCAAGCATGGAAGAATAAAGCAAATCTTATCTTGTGGTACTGTTGTTGAGTAATTAAAGGAAAGCTTTAGGGCAGTTTCCTCTTGTGTGTTTGCGACCATGCACGTGTTTGCTTTCATCGCAATGTTGGAGGCAGAGAAGGAGCCATGGGTCACAGAAGGTGAGGAAAGGCTCTTAGTACGCTGCCACAGACACAAAGAGATGGACAGATGTCAGATCCATCAGCAGCACAGAGCAGAGGATGATTAAAGCCACAGAGTGAGGCCTTTAATGATGAGAGGAGGACAGGGACAGATGATGAGATGACAGAAAGTAAAAAGGAGAAGCGCTAGATGATGTGAAGAAGAGATTCATCTGCTGGCTATCTCGATTCAGCTTCAATTTGTCATTTTCTTACAAGCCACGACATGATCGTCTTCTTCATTGTAGTTAACTGACAGCAGGGATACTGTCTTGAATCCCTATCATATGATTGGATAGCAAACTCCTCCTCATGTATGGAATGCAAGCAGGTAGCTGAAGCCAATACAAAAGTGCCCTATGCATTTTTAATCTTTTTATCTATCTAATCCATCTATCCTTGGATAAAAAAACTTTTTATCAAATACTTGAATTAATTGAATAAAAGTTCCCTCAAAAATATATCCCCATTTACTCAAAACTTGGCTTAGAAAATGTTCCTGAAATTAATAAAATAAAATTGGAAAGGACGTACAAATAAATTGCTGATTGTTAACGTATTTCAACTTAGTAATAACAAGAACTAATTTAAAAATACATAGAATTATCACAAAACAAATTCCATCATTTCCTTTTGAAAAATAATAGTAAAATTCAAGATCTCCACAATCTCGAATCAGTCATTAGGTTTAATTGGGTTTCCATGTAGTGTGAGCAGACCGGGCCGTTTCTCAATCTCGAAGATTCTGGCTTCCAAGACAATATTTCAAGGATGCTACGTCATCGAGTGCCGCCGAAGGACTGTTCCAATCTCCAGCATACTTGGAATTCCACCGAGGCCACGTCCTTGGTTTGGGGGAAATTTCGAGGCTGCACATGGGTAGACTTCGCGTCCTTAAAATCCCCACAATGCTTTGCGCATGGACCAATTTCAAAAACCCTTGCGGAGAATTCCTGAACCGACGCAGCACACATTTAAATGTAAGTATGTAGTGGCGTAGAACATGTGTTGGTAAATATGTTACTTTGTTACATTTGTTTGTTATCACCAAACATGTGTTCCGTGAAAGTAAAGCAAGTTCATAATTAGATAGACATTGTGAGGTATTTATTTTCGGTACAGTTTATGTTGAAACCGTTAGAGAGAGTGGCACACTTGTTAGCCTGTTCCATTCTTCTTTGTTTTCCGAAGCCGTGGCTTGGAAGCATACTTGCTTCGTTTCTGAAGGAAGGGACTTGGAAGTACGCGACTACCAAGCCAGCATCCTCGCGATTGAGAAACACCCCGGGTGTGTTTCTATGTTCGGAGGGAGCTTACCCAGACAGGACACCGAGCACCAGGTTGAGCATGAAGAAGGAGCCGATGATGATGAGGGGGATGAAGTACAGCCAATTCCAGGTGTTCCCCGCCACGTCATTGGTCTGGAAACACAGGAACAACACAGAAAGAATTAAGAAGATAGCTATTTGCAAAGTCACCAACCCAAATAAATGATTCTCATATACTTCCTTTCTATCCTTTTAATGTGTTAGTAAGAAATTGCCAATGAACTAAAAACTAAAAGTAATTGTTTGGTTTTGATGGAAACAGTCTGAGCTGACAGTGTTTGAATATGTCCCTTAATACTTTCCTATTCCTCATCTACAGCTGTGAGTACCAGTGTGTTTTCGACCTGGCGGAATGAGAAAAAACGTTTGCCAACTTACTTTCTTCAAACATTTTTGACATATTTTTAATTTGAAAAAAACAAACAATTAAAAGTGTCTCCATCATCTATGTACGCTTCCAAACAAACCAGCAAAAGACGTCTGCTATCACGAAAAAACCACAGTTTCATTTAACACAACAGAAACATCCATTCCTATAAATTGTCCCTCAGGCAATCAGGTGTGATGAGGAAGTCATCCAAAATGAGCCGTCATGGCTCAGGGTTTGTTAAATGACTTACACACAGAGCTAAAAACACACATACCTACAGTTATTTAGTTTTTATAAAGAAGGGTTTTTCTGAGGATATACACATTTTCTATTTATCCTAAATGTCCTTAAATATATCTTCCTAAAGCTGAAGAAGGTGACTCATTCAATAATAACATTTATTAAATAATATTCACTATTCAAGGGGTGTCATGTTAAGCTATTTAGTTATTTAAAAAAGGATAACAAAGTTTTTTTTTTTTATGTAAATGTCCCAAATATACTGTAGTCACAGAGAGTCTGAGTTGTTAGGCATATGATATTTTTCCTTGAGCAGTTAGAAGACAGCAAAACAAGCTATACAGAAGTGGAAATATAAAACATACATTGCTCTGTTTAAGTGAACAAACTTTTGCTTACAAGTTAGCCAGTTATCTTTATGTGTCAATATGTCTAAGCTGTGTTTCCAGCTTGTTGTTCTTGTCAAAGTTGCCAAACAATCCATCACAGCGATTAAAAATGAGTTACCCAGAGCACTTTGCTGATTGGTTGGATGTACCGATTGTGTACTGCTGCAGACTGAGAAGCCGGCCTGATATTTATGCTTGTTTCTCCCAGGGAGTTGTGAGAGTCAGCGCCCTCTGTGTCTGAGCGCCCCCCCACACAGCGCCTGTTAGCGGGGGACAGCCTGCAGAGCGATGGGCTGTGTGAGGCACGGTGACATTCTGCAGACGCCAGTGTCGGAGCACTGCCACACGCTGCCTGTAATTGTGATGGGAGGTTCAGGGCAGCTGAATCAGCAGACTGCAGATCTATATTATGCGTCCGAGGATGTGGGATGAACATACACACACGTACAGTATACAGCGGCACGCCCTCCGTCTCAGCCGTCAGAGGAGAAGCAGCCCACACACCAGGATAAATGGCTGCCATAAGCTTTACTCTGTTGCTCTTCATCAATTATTTTTCAAGCCTAACATCTCCTCGTGTCTTTCTCTGCCTCTCTCCCTCTTGCGTCGAACATTTTGTTAAATTCTCTTGGTATGAATTTTACATGAGCATCTTCTCATCTCCCACTGTCTCCCTTGATTCAGTTCGATTCAACGAAGCATAAGGAAATGGTTTGGAGAACATGCTCTCTTTTCCAAAGGGACATGAGAAGATCTATATAATCTCATCTCACATCTCTGCATTAAGTGCAATGCTGCAGTTAGCTTATATTAGCATAACAAGGGGGGAACACGTTTTCTGGCCCTGCCTAATGTTCAAAATGATGTGTATTAATTAACCCTTCAAGCGCTTTTGTATTTTGTTTGTTAAAACTCATACATGAACAGGTTTTAGGGCGACAGCTGGCTGCAGTGACTTGGGGACTGCCCATTATTACAAAACCCAAATAGTCGCAAAAATAGACTTTCTCCCTGCAACAGGAGCATATGGCTGATTATTATGCAGAATGTAATAACGGGCTATGCAACAAATGAGCTTTTAGTTACTTTTGTGGATTAAAAAAGAAGGTCTGCTGGAAAAGATTTGTTGAAACAGTAACCCTAACGTTTCTTTCAGCACAGTGAAGTCGGAATTACAGCCTGCATTTTTACTTTTTAGTTCATTCCCATTGCTTTCATCAGTGTCATTACTGCCTGTGGAAAAGCTGCTAGCTAGCTGTTAGCGCTAAGTCCCCTGAGCAGTTGGTGGAGACTAAAACAGAGCTAAAAGAGGCGTGTGCCGCAGTGGGTTGTGTGAGGTGTTCAGATCAGGGGGTCACAGGTTCAAACCCCACTGCAGTCAGCATGTTGTTGTGTCCCTGAGACACTTCACCCCAAATTGCTCCTGTGGGGATTGCCCACAGTATTGAGTATGTAAGTCGCTTTGGATAAAAGCGTCTAACAAGTAACATGTACTGTAATGTAAAAAGAAGAGTGATATTGTTTTTTATTTCCAAGCAGAGTTCGGTATTTGTTTGTAGAAGCAGCAGATACACTATTTCTTTACTCACTGGGGAACTCTGGATGTCTGTTGTGGAGACAATTAAGTAGAAATGCACTCTGTTGCCTCAGCTCTCCATTGTCAGCTGGAGAGGAGGGAAGACTCCTCTCTCCTGGTGATGCGCCCTTAATTCTTCAGCTGACTGCTCAGGCAGGCGAGTTCAGTTGAGCTTGTGCAAATGGTTTTCAGATTCAGAAACAGGGAAAGGTCTCCGCGGTGGTCTCACAGTTGCTGGTTTGCTCAGATGTAAGGTAGAAGAAGCGTTAACTAGTAAAGCAGGACACACCTGAGGTAGCGTCAGGCAAACACATCTGTGGTTCCCTCTACATGTAATCCATATATGATATATAAGATGTTTGCATACTTGAGTCCTGTTTTCTGCAAACTCTCTCCATTTGTCTTCCTTATTTGGATTACATTTTTAGAATCAGCTACCTTAGAATCTGTTGTCGAAATAATAATGAACGTGGCACTTTGCTCAACTGATTAATGGGTGTATTATACGATACATTACAGAAAAAGTGGTTCCCGAGGTAGCCAAGGTAAGAGTCAAGAACTAAAGGACAGAATAAGCGTTTCCTGTTTTTAATCTTATGCTTAATGCCTTTTTTACATAATGAAACATATTGAAGGATGGAGTTATATTGTCTGTTTCACAGATTGCAAATAAAGATCTGGTCTCCAAATACTGCTGGTTTCCATATGACAATCCCTCCAGCTCTGCTTCAGACCCCACCTTTAATGAGATTAAACCATACTGTGCAGAGCAGGAGAACAGATACAGGACACATCATGGTTATAGTCATTTAGAACAATTACCAAACTGCTAATGCAACATTTTGCCTTCAACCACTTTTTTTTCTGATGACCTTAAATGTTGTTGAAGAATAAATAGATGAGACAAGAAAGCAAATTAAAATGTTGTTATGATTATAATAAGTGAAAGGTCTATTTGTTATGCACTGATCCGATACTGTTATTTGTAATTGGGCTGACACGTATAGCTGTATTGGGAATGCCATCATGCAATGCAGTATGTCTTAAGCTAAGGAGGCTAACACAAATACGTCAGTAGGTATTTCAACTTCGTAATAACTGCAAAGCCAAAGTTTTGATGTGTGGCAGGAGCAATGCAAACATATACTAACTACTAAAATACTACTTAAAGATATCCTATTATACCCCCCCCCCCTGCTTGAAATGCTTTCATTGGACTCCTTTGTTTACTTTCGTAACATAGTGACATCACTACTTAGCAGCGCTTCTATTGACTATTGACTTGCTTGTATTAAGGGGTGCGACATATCTAAGCAGTTGACCAATCACAACAGAGCCGGTCAGCTAACCAATCAGAGCAGACTGGGCTCTGGTTTAAGACAGAGGGTTAAAAGAGGTGCTGCAGCACAGGCAGCATGAGACAAATAAAGAGCTTTGTGAACATTAAGCATGGAAACATGTCCCAGGAGAGGCACAAAATATAAATATGAACCCGTAAATGAGCATAAAGAGGCCTCTTTGATGAAGCATCATTCTAAAGAATAAACATAGTTTAACTCTTCCTACTCTTGTAGATATTTAAAGACAAACTTTAGTGATTTCTCTCCACTGAGCTTAATGTGTGTGAGTTCACTGGATATCGTTATTCCACCTCTGTTATTCCCATGAGTCATCGCTGGCTGACTGCTCTCAATGATCAGTGAAGAAAAAAGAAAATGCTGCCACATAATTTGGAGTCATACATCATGAAGTCGTGGTTTGACAGTGTACTCCCACTC